CAAAACAACGTTTGCCGGGTCAGCTAGTATTTTATAAAATAAGTATTTACTTAGGAAGAAGAACCAAAAAACTTTGGTTGGACTAACTTAAAGTTAATATTAAGACTCAAAACTTTCAGAGAATTTTTATTTATCAATTTGGAAGTATTTGAGCACCTGGTAACAAGGAAATTCCATATTAAGGACCACCCTTATATATGTATATATATATATATATATATATATATGAGTGAGTTCTTGAGGGCGATACATAAAACAAAGAAATAATAAATAAATTCTTTGTTTGATGTATCGCCCTCAAGAACTCACTCACATATTTCAACATCAAAATTAACTACTAAATCATATATATATATATATATATATATATATATATATATATATATATATATATATATATATGTATGTATGTATTAACAAAGTCTAGTAATCGGGCATAACATCAATAAAAAACATGAATTTCGTTCAAAAATTTATTTTAAATCCATACGTTTCGGCTATAATCCTAGCCTTCATTCAGTGGAATTAAAATTAAAATTATAACTAAAACAATTGAATTGGAGTGAAAAGAAAAAATAAAATAGTAAATAGTACTTACAATTAGTTGATCTTAGTGTTAAATTGGAAACTTTTTAATAATCCATGGTATCAAGATATGTTAATGCACTATGTATTATAAACATTTAACTTGTAATCACACAATATTTTCACAAAATACTAATTTAAAAAATCACAATTATATAGTGTGTTGTTCGTAGACTGGTTGAAGATATAATGGAGAAAGGACTTTTTAAAAAATATTTTTTACCAAGATTCTACACATGTGTGGAACAAATTGCGAATCCTTGCGCGTCGTTTTTATTATTTTGTGAGAAATTTGGAAATACTATCTAAATAAAGGAGATTTGTGTTGCCCAGCGTGTTAAGTTCATTCCGTTTATTTATTGTTTTATTGCTGTAAATAGTTAAAAAATATCTTTCTATAATTCTTCGTTTGAATAAATTTTGTTCGAATTGTAGTACAGTCGGGTTAGAAAAGTCCATATTGTGTTTTAAAGTATAAAGATGCTCTACTAACATAGTTTTAAACTGTTTTGGATTTTTTGAATTGTTTTTATGTTGTTGTAAACGTTTCATTAAGTTCTGGCTTGTTTCTCCTATGTAAATTAAATTACAATCTAGACAATTTATTTGATAGATGAGATTTCTAATTTTCCAATTTAACACTAAGATTAACTAATTGTAAGTACTATTTACTATTTTATTTTTTCTTTTCACTCCAATTCAATTGTTTTAGTATTTTATTTTTAGTTTACACTGAATGAAGGCTAGGATTATAGCCGAAACGTATGGATTTAAAATAAATTTTTGAAAGAAATTCAGGTTTTTTATTGATGTTATGCCCGATTATTAGACTTTGTTAATATATATATATATATATATATATATATATATATATATATATTCATACAATTCATATACATAGACATACATAGACAGAGTTACGTAACTCTGTCTCCAAACTAACAAGATGTGCTTTTGGAATAAGCTTTTTTATAATAAAAATATTATTTATTTTAATTTTTACAATTTTCAAAAATTTTCATAACTTGATGTTTTTTCAATTTTTTATTTCATACTTATTTTTTCGTTGCAATTTTGTGTTGTTCTTTGTGTTATTATTTTTTTTTAAATTTATTTGTATGGTGAGTTTCTTTACATTTGTTTATTTTATGTTGTTTTTCAAATATACTTTTCATATACATTGTTTCTACTTATTTTTGTCTGAAATTATGTATCTTTTATATTATTTTTTATATTGTTTTAATTTGTGACCATGATATATTTATTTGTAGCACTGAAGATGGGTCAAATCTGGACCCGAAACGTATGTTTTCTTAATTAAAACATTTTGCATTAAAACTGTTTTTTTAATTATTGGATGGATGCCCAAGAAACAATTTTTATCATATTATTTCACCATCTGAAGAAAAACCTCTCGCTTTATATTATATATATGAGTAAGTTCTTCAAGGGCATACATCAAATAAAAGGCAAAGATTTAGAAGTTAATCTTTGAGATGAACATTGAGAAATTAATCTAAACTAGGAAAAAAAATCATTCCTTATGTTGTCTATCTGTTTAGTTATAATTGTCATTGTTGTTATAATTATAATACTTGTATCTATAGTTTTTTTTCCAACCTCTGTCATTTTTTTCCTAGTTTATATTAATTTCTCAATGTTCATTCTGTAGATCCACTGATGATGACATAAAATCCTATGTCGAAACGTTTGGAAAAAATTAAAGAGAAACTTCTAAATCTTTGCCTTTTATTTGATGTATGCCCTTGAAGAACTTACTCAAGTTCGAAATATATAATATATTTTGCACGGAGAACGTAGTTTATGTGACCAAGCCCGAGGCTGTAATCAATATATATATATATATATATATATATATATATATATTTAAAACACTTAATTTTCTCGATCCGTTTTCGTAATAAATTTCCACATCACTCTCGCGCAGTTTTCCGAAGACTGCGCGCCGGGAACGCGGCTGGTATTGATCGCAGCCACAGGTGACTATCGATATACTCATTATGATTACCTTAGGTATCGATACATTTCGTCGATACTTCTCAAAAGTATCGACTGTGTAGGATAAATACCACTCATCGATAATTTGTCCGCCACATTTGTAAGAAATTAGAAAGAAGCATTTTGCGCATTCAGTAAATAATCGTGAAAATAGTCTTTCTTTTTCGGTAAATGTATATATACGAGGTCTGTTCAAAAAGTACCCGGAATTTTCGTTTTTTTCAAAAAAATATTTATTTATTCGTCTACATTAATGTGGTCCCCTTCAAAGTAGTCCCCCCCAGATATAATACCCTTATGCCAGCGTTTTTTCCAATTTTCGAAGCACCCTTGATATTCACTTTTTGATATGTCCTTGAGCACTCTCGGCGATTCGGCCTTTATTTCTTCAATCGAGGAAAACCGCCGTCTTTTCATGGGTCTCTTCAACTTTGGGAATAGGAAAAAGTCACACGGAGCCATATCTGGTGAATTTTTGCACTTTGCAACACTTTATTTCATTTTTTACGCAAAATTTAATACAAATTCTTTGACTTTTCAATTCTTCCATTGTAAAAATCGCCGAGCTCAGAAAAACACGTCGAACCTTAGCGACTACCACAGACAAAGTAAACAGTGAATATAGCTGAAAATTTCATCATACTTTAGGGGCATGTATACCAACACAATAAAAAAAAATTTTGACAATCAGACACTCCAGACCCGCGAAATTTAATTATTAGTAATTCCGGGTATTTTTTGAACACACGTATATATATATATTTCTAAGTAACTAGCAGCCCATTCGTCGAAATAAAAAAGGTATAAAGTATAAAAACTTTTATTTATACGTTTCGACACAAGATGCGTGTCATCATTCAGCAACACAGGACAAAAACACTCAACAAAAATTTATTTTAAAAAATTAAACTTAATAACATATTAGAGAAAAACATTTTTTAGAAAAAATTATGAATAACTAAAAGATTTGAAAACTAATTTGACTAAAAGATGAAATGCATAATTGTGAAGCGAGAAACACGCCCATACCGAGCATCCAGACTCGACTGAGTCGACTTTAGTCAGACTTTAGACGTTTTCTCAAAAACAACTGGACCGATTTCAAAAATTTAAAAACCATTCGATGTATCTCAATAAGGACTAGCGTTTATCAATTTTGCGCGACGATCAGCCAAGCCGTTTTCTTGTAAATTGTAGAAGAGTGAAAAAATTTTCGTCCACGTTTTAGCCCGCAATTCTGAATCGATTTTTAAAATTTAAAAACCGTTCGAAAGATATTGGTTGGGAATCGACCTGATTAGTTTTAGGTGAAAATCTACCGAGCCGTTTTCTTGTAATAAAGTGTTAAAAAAAATTTTTTCGACGATTTTTCTTATTATTTTTTTGACGGTAGATATCATAGACTTCTAGATCATACTAAAATATTACGGCCCCACGACAACTCGTTTAGCTTTAAAAATTCGCCAAAGTTTGCAAAAATTGGTATCGTTTTTTTGGCCTTTGTCAAAATTAGACCTTTCATCGACGTTTCCTCAAAAACACCTGAACCGATTTCAGAAACTTAAAAGCCTTTCGATGTATCTCAATGAGGATTAAGCTCATACTATCGAATTGATTTTAAAAAGTCAAAAACTGTTCTAAAGATATTAGTTGGGATTGATACTGATTAATTTTAGATGGAAATCTACCGAGCCGTTTTCTTATAATTAACTGTTGAAAAAAAAATTTAAGCCGACTATTATGAAACTTTCTTTGGCGATGTATATCATGGTCTTATAGAACTTACTGGAATATTCATCAAAGTTTAAAAAAATGAGTAGTTTTTTTGACGTTTGTTAAAATTAAAATTAGATGATTTAGTTGGTATAACGATAGAGTACTTGGTCTTAATGAACGTACTAAATCATTAAAGTTCTACGGAAACTGGTTCAATTATAAAAAAATTATTGATTTTTGAAAATTTGACTTTAGAAAACACTCCGTGTTAACGTGTTCGTTCGTTTTCAATGATGTGTAATAAATCCACTTTAAATACTTTTAATCGCTCATAAATTAATTTATCTATCATGGATTAAGTCAATTATTTACACATATCGGGGAAGTTTATGTAATTTACCTCAAGGCAAAATACCAAACCAATTAGTTTTTTATTGTAATTTCAAATTTATGCTATTAGAAATTCTGATGTTATATGATATGAAACTAACTAAAATTTGAACGAGAGCTTTATAAAATAATATTAAACCTAAATCTATTTCTTTTTCTTAAAACTACATAATTTCTGATTTTATATTTTGCCGCCGAAAAACTCGCAGCTGAATTGTTTTTAACTTCAACTTGATCTGTTGTTTATAAAAGGAAAATGGAGGAAAAATGTCAAAGTGGTTTATGGAATTATACGTCAAATTCGAAGATAAATTCATAGTAAAAAGGTCAGTGTTAGAAATATATCATATTAAACAATAAACGAATTAGTATATTTATTATACGTTTATAACATATATATTTTAAATATAAAATCTTAACTTTTAAGAACTCATCACCACTTTGCTTATTATAACCTTCAAACTTCAAACATGTCTGAAGAAACAAATTCGAATAAAACAATTAAAATTGAACCAATCGATGATTATCCTCAAGTTAAACAGGAATATGATGATTATGAAGATACATCAGATATTTGTATGGATAATGATATATGTCTGCAGCAATTTTTAAAATCTGAGGTAACTATCGATGAGGAAATAAAACAAGAATCGATTGATGAGCATGATGCTTCGGTAACGCCCATATGTAACGAAGAGATCAGTAATTTAAGTAATTTAGTGGATAGCACGAACAAATCATTTGAAAAAGTTTCAGGAAAACATAGAACAACTAAAAAGTTGAAATCTTATGAATGTGAAACATGCACTAAAACATTCAAAACAAAGCAAAATTTAGACCATCATAAGATGAGCCATACTGGAGAACGGCCTTATGAGTGCAAAATATGCAATAAAACATTCAAAGCAAAGCAAAACTTAGACAAACATAAAATAATTCATACAGGAGGACAGCGTCATGAGTGCCATATATGCAATAAAATATTTGCACTGGAAAGTAATTTAAGAAAGCATTTATCACTGCATACCGAAAAACGTCCTTATATTTGTGAAATATGCAATAAAAAGTTCAAAACAAGGCGATACTTAAACTTACATGATGTGGTTCACTCTGGGGAACGCCGTTTTGAGTGCATAATATGCAATAAAAGATTTTCAAGACCATCTAATTTAAAAAGGCATTTCTCAGTGCATACTGGAGAACGCGCCTATAATTGTGAAATATGCAATGATAATTTCACAACAAAACAAATCTTAAACCAACACAAAATGATCCATACTGGAGAACGACCTCATGAGTGCAAAATATGCAATAAAACATTTATACATATAAATGGTTTGAGATCCCATTTACCAGTGCATACTGGAGTACGACCTTATGAATGTGAAATATGCAATAAGGCATTTGCAAGAAAACATTCATTAACAAAACATAAAAGAGTACATGCTATAGAACGTCCTATAAGGAAACAGTCAACAAAACTTTTGAATTAGTCGTGAAACTGTCTAACCTTATAATACTTATCAATCACTCAATTTATATTGATACAGGATATTAAATGCAATTTGTGTATTATATATTTCATTTATAACTCTGTTTGTTACTCATAATCAATGAATTGTATGTAATTGTTTAATAATGTAAATATAAATGTTTAAATATAACATTGTGGTTATTTAATATCTTTTAATGAATCGCAAAATGTGTTGGTAAGCGCATAACTCAACAACGCCTGGACCAATTTGGCCAATTCTTTTTTTAAAATGTTCGTAGAAGTCCAGAGATGGTTCTTACGGCAAGAAAAAATCGAATAATTGCCGGGAAAACCCTAAAAACAAACTTTTTCTTTTTCACATACAAACGTTTACTAACTAAAACGTAGAATCAATTTGAGTTTAATTGCTATTATATAAAGTTCATATTAAATCATAAGCACCCACTGTTTTTTCCTCCTAAACGATTATTCGGATTTTGATAAATTTTTCTGAAATTTGTTAAGGAAATTTTCTAGAATGTATGTGATTATAAAGTACTGAGATGTATGTGCAATATTGTAGAAATCTGTAATATAAAATAAATGGAAAACATTGAAAAAAACGACATGTAGTTGTTTGCATTGACAACAAATGAAAACTATCATCTGCCAAAAATTCCAATTTACTTATGAATCTAAATATTATTAGAATATGTATAATAATTTATGATTATGAATAAGAAAAATGAAATGTCTACATTATTATTACCAAAAAGCAACTGAGATGTGCCAGAAATTAAAATAATATAAGATACAGTATATGTATGGCAGATTGAATGATATACATATGAACAAGGATATGACAAATTAATTCACTTAAAATATTAAATTAAGTATTAAACAGTCAATAATTATTATTTTTAGGTAAACGGTAAATATTAGTATTATATTAAAAAATTGTAGGCATGGATACAGGACAACGTCTGTCGGGTCATCTAGTTGAAGATAAAAATACAACTTTCAAGTTTTTAGAGACTAAAATGTTTTCTTTATAGTTCAAAGGATCTTTGTTTTGGTTTTACTTTTACCTTTCTGCACTCTTTGCTCTATCTCCATAATGGCTGAACCTGCCTTTGCCAAAAACTAATTAGCATATTTCCCTAATCCCTATCAATATGAATCGAATGTTTTTTGAATCATTAATACTGTAACTTTTTGAAAACATTTAGAATTCTTCGTATATTTCATTACAGTACGGGAAGTTCCAGCAATTAGTCTCAAGGCACGATGCCATACCACTAGTTTTTATCCATTTAAATTTCGAAAATAACGTTTACCTAATATATGAATACTTTACATCGATCATTTTTACGCACTTGCAATTGAAATTCCCGCCACTTTATCTCGATGTTGCCAGCACTAGTTGTCACCATTATTTTGTACTGTCAAAAACATTTCGTTCGGCATCTTTCAAGTTTGATTTTAACTTTCAAGTACTTTGCAACATAAACAAAAAGTGGTAAATAAATATTAATGTACACAATGTTTCTGTCATTATTTAATATTCTTTTTTATTATTACCAGGATATAACCACAAAATAAAACAAATTCTTCACAATGTCTTCTCATATGAGTACCAAAGAAAAAATATTGCACATAGTGGACGATATTGAATTAATATCAAAAGAATTGATAGAAAACCTGATTGCACCGAAACAACAAAAGTTATCCAGTGCTGATCACCAGCTTTTGACAGAACTTCTGGTTTCAAAAGACAAGGATTTAAAAAATGCTATGAAACTTGCATCCGAACAAGCTGCTATTGAAGTTAAAATTAATGCAGTTAAATCGGAAGTTGAAAGACAAGTAAATATAAATGATATAAATACAGTTTACCTTTGTATAACACGGGTGTTGATTTTCAAAAATCTATGTTATAATTTATGAAAGAATTAGTACAAAAATTGAGGTTAGGTTTTATAATTTAAAGACAATCATAATGGAGATAATAATGTTTATTATTATTTTCTTGTACTTCTGTTATTTGCGATTCCTTGCTTTTAGTGAAAAGATTTTTATATATTTCTTTATTAACGCTAAGAACTTGTACAGTTTTAAATTTTGTGCTTACTTTATTTGAAGAATCGTTATTTGAGAAATATGAATATCTGTTCAAGTAAGCATAAGCCTTTTTTCTGCAATAACTTATGCGCTCGAACATAAAATGCTAAATAATTTCACTAATTTCAAATTATATAAAGTTTGCTTTTAATCGATTGTATTTTATTTTCTTTTTTAGAATTTTGCTCAATTTTTGAATCATATTAGAGTGATTATAAATTTTATATAAGTATTGTTATTACCTGTATTGTCTGTATCTTTACTTTGATAGATATTTGTATTGTACTGTCAATATAGCAGTTTTTAACTTTCACACATTTTAATTAATATTGTGCATCTTTTTCAACTAGGACCAACATATATTGCAATTCCAAAGACAACTGAAGGAAGCCGAACAAATTTTGTCAACAGCATTATATCAAGCAAGACAAAAACTGCAAAGTATTAACAAAGCTAACAAGAAACCAGTTTCTACTGAAGAACTTATAAAATACGCTCACAGGTTAATAAATTTAATAAGAAAGGTTTATTTTTGCATAGAGTAGGACAGGGCACAAACATTTAATTTAACTTTAATATTGTGAAAATTGAAAAAAAAACATATTACAATTAATTTTCGAACTATGTTCAGTAAAATTTCCAGCTATTTTATAATTGTAGAACTGTATATTTTGCTATTTTTCTAAAATTTCTATCTGTTACTCCAGTCAATAGAGCGTTTTGGGTCTGAATTTTTTTACTGTGCTCCAATTTGCATGAAATTTTAGAATTAGATTCATCTTATCCTAAAGTTCAAAAGTGAAAACACTATTCAATCTATTTTATTTATAATCTAAATATATATTAAACATAAAGAACAAAATTTAATCAACTCTTTTAATTTCATCATCATAAATCTTGCTTTTGTATGTATTTCTGTTGAACTTATCATAATTAGTCATTGTTTGTTGAAATACACTTATCACAAATAAGATAAATATAATTCTGCTTGAAATCATATTTTATGGACAGGTCTTTTTACAAAGATCTTACTATACACAAACTTTGTATTCACTCTCGAATCTTCAAGCCCTATTCTACCCTATTTGAGTTGCATACTAACCTATTACTGCTTATCAATTTTATAATATTACCTTTACCCAGGATAAGTTCTTCCAATGCAGTTTGCGCTCCCCTAACCTGGCACCAAGGCGACATGAGAAGACCGTACCCAACCGATTTAGAAATGAGATCAGGATTCCTTAGCAGACCCGATCTTCCATTAAATGGTCACGGTATCCCTCACCAGAATATTGTCAATGATGTCCACCGAGGAGGCCATGCAGCCGACATTCCTGCATCATCACAAAGTCAATTTGCATGGCATCCATCTGGGGAATTGCATATGACGATGGGTTCCAGCGGGGGCATGGTCACGCTTGATACTAGAGCTTCTCATAAGGAGACTAACGCAAGATGATATTGAAGTTATGTCCACGGATTCGAGTAGTAGTAGTTCGAGTGATTCACAATGAAGATTTAGAGTTAGGGTGTATTTAAGGATATTTTCTTTAAGAGATATTTTTATATGAGGTTTGTGTGGAAGGAGGAAGGATAATACTTTCTAATATGGAACTGAAAGTAGAGAGCATTGAAATTGATTTTTAATGAACTTGTTAAGATAAAAAATCATGCTTACGATTAATTGAATGAAAGAATACTCAATTCACAGCATTTTCAGACAATTTCAAATATTTTCAGATATTTAAAACATTGTTTTGAGTATGCATCATTTTCAGACAATTTACAACATTTATATATAATCTACAATATTTTCAGATAATTTACTACATTTTGGATAATTTAAAACATTTTCAGATAATTTAAAACATTTTAGACAACTTTAATAATTATTTCACTTTAATATCACAACACATTCTTCACAATATTTTGGAAATTATAAAATTTTATAATTAAAAAGTTACATGTTGTTTCATTGTAGATTGCTAAATTTGAATTTGCCTGTTTCAGTAATTGCAATTATTACATTAAATAAAAACACTGTGCATAGTTATAATCATAAAATATTTTAAAAATTAAAAATGGTTTTTAAAATTTTCATTTTTCGAATTCAAATTATTGCGCGCTTTGCGCCCTACTTTACCGACTTCGGCAGCCATTGCTCCGATGTGAAGTATGTCAAAGTATCAAGGAGTTCCATTAGTGCAGATCTATTTATAAATGACGAGTGTTTTAAATTAAATATCAAAAGATTTGTGTTGAATTTTATCAAAATAACGTGCATTAAAGTGTTAAAAGGATTTTCTAAATTATTAAAGGTAGGAATTTAACATTCTACACGCAAAATGTACATGAAATGTTAAGTAGGGTTTGGCATTGTTTATATTTGCCACACCCCGGTTTGATTGATATTTATTAATGGAACGAGTATAAATAAGGATAAAACTCGGGTTTGGATTAGTTTTTTTTGTTTCTGATGTATACAGTTTTTGTTTTTAGTAATAATTTATTTGATTGAGTTTCCATTTAAATTTCTCGATTTGACAGCATATCTGCATTGCAGTCCATTTTGGATTTGTAGAAAACACGTCCGCAAGGATAATATTGTACTTATGTATGATTGTGTATGCATGAATGTACATAATTAATTAAGATTTATAAATGATATTTATGGTGTGTTTTGTGTGTGATAAATATTATTATTGATAATAATATCGCGAAATATTTTTGGACTCATTTTAATTTTTTCTTCAAATATTTGCTCATTTAAAAGATACATCTAATTATCTAATTTAGTTTTCCCTATCAAACAGAAAACATTCTTTATTTTTCTTTAAGTCTATTAATTTCTGCATTCTTAATTAAATATTACAAACGAATTTGATAAAAAATGATTACAAAATTATTGCATATCAATTCTATTGATTGATAATTATAATAAAAAATGAATTAAATTAAATCTAATTAAATGATGGAATAATAATTATAATAATAATAAATTCGGCAACAAACATATTTTTTTTTATTTCCTACTTTCTTAGTTTGTTATATTTTTTTTAAAAAGATCATAGTTATTATTTTTTATGATTCATATTATTTATAGATTGTTTTTAAGTTTTTAAGTTTTTAATAATATTTTTTTTATTCTTTATTTGAAAAACTTTTATAATTTACTCCCAATAATTTATTAAAAATACATTATATAAATTTTCAATTTAATTTGTTTCAGTCTTTTTGTTTTTTTGTTATTCTATTTCCAAAGTTTAATCTTTATTTCATAATATATTTTTGTCGACTTGTCGACTATTACTCAAAATATGAGTTATGAGAGTTAATTTATTAAGATTCTTAATTGCCTATTGTAATATTTGTTTTTTACAAGTGTTATTTTGAATTTTTAAAATATTAATGACTTACAACTAAGTATCATTATGCCTTAAGGAAAGTCGCACGAACTTCAGGATTTTTGTATTTATCAACTTCCCGAAGGAGAAGTTTATGTTTTTCTTGACGTTTCAAGCCATTCTGAACCGAATGTGACCGACATTTGGAGTAAAGTATGTGTGTGTATGTGAACAGATTTTTTGCCGTAAATCGACGTTTTCTCAAAAGCGGCTGAACCGATTTCAAAAATTTAAAAGCCATTCGATGTATCTCGATGAGGACTAGCGTTTCTGAGTCTTGTGCGACGATCGGCCGAGCCGTTTCTTTTTTTAAATCGCATAAAAGTGAAAAATTTTTCGTCCACGTTTTAGCCCGCAATTCTTAGTCCATTTTAAAATTCAAAAACTGTTCGAAAGATATTGGGAAAATTATGTTGATTAGTTTTTGGTAAAGATCGGCCGGGTCGTTTCTTGTAATAAAGTGTTAACAATTTTTTTTAATGATTTTTATGATTTTTTTGACGGTAGATACCATAGTCTTATAGATCATACTAAAATGTCACGACCTTACGACAAGTCGTTTAACTTTAAAAATTCTTCAAAGTTTGTAATAATTAGTATCGTTTTTTGGCATTTGTCAAAATTAGACCTTTCATCGACGTTTGCTCAAAAACGCCTGAACCAATTTTAGAAATTTAAAAGCCATTTGATGTAATTTAATGAGAACTATCGTTTGTCAGTTTTGTGGGACGATCTGCCGAGTCGTTTCTTTGTAATTTGGAAAAAAGTGTTAAACTTTTCGTCCAAATTTAAGCTCATACTACCGAATCGATTTAAAAAAATCAAAAACTGTTCGAAAGATATTAGTTGGGAATGATTCTGATAAGTTTTAGATGAAAATCTACCCAGTCGTTTTCTTGTAATTAACCGTTGAAAAAAAAATTAAACCGATTTTTATCGTACTTTTTTGGCGATATATATCATGGTCTTATAGAACTTACTGTAATATTACGGCTTTACGACAAGTAGTTTAATTTTAAAATTCATCAAAGTTTGAGAAAATGCGTAGTGTTTTTGACGTTTGTTAAAATTAAAATTAGACGATTTACTTGGTATAGCGATAGAGTACTTGGTCTTAATGAACGTACTTAAACATTAAAGTCCTACGGAAACTGTTTCAATTATAAAAATTGTTGATTTGTGAAAATTTGCTTTTAGAAAATACTCGGAGTTAAGTGTTCGTTTATTTTCAAATATGTGTAATAAATCCATTCGGAATACTTCTAATCGCTCATAAATTAATTTGTTTTTTATTGATTAAGTCGATTATTAACACATATCGGGAAGTTCATGTAACTTGCCTCAAGGCAAAATACCAATACCAACTAGCTTCTATATATATTGAAGAGACGTTAGTAATGAATTTACTAATTAATAATTAAATGTAACCAATTTTTAATAACTTCTTGAGTAGATTAGAGTTTTATTTGGAATACTTAACGACGAGAATTGGAACATTTGTAGCTCTTCTGGAAGTGTGTGAAATCAAAGAATTTATTTAGATACAAAAATTTATTTAGCGCTTTATTATAATATTTTAGTTGTTACTTTTAACCTAACTAACTTTATATTTTTACATTTTTAAAATATTCCAATATTTCTAGTTTTATGATAGCTCGCCGAGGGTACATGAGCTATCATAAACTTTTATTAAGGGTTGTCTTGCAGATGTACAAAATATTCGCAACATTTACCGTTACTTGGGATTATACATCGTTCAAATGAATTTACTTATGACTATCATTTATAATTATAAAGAACACAATTCTCAACAATGTGTATTTCCCATATGTCCTTTATTAAGTGTGACGCTTTTTCTGCCATTCGTAAATGTACGATAGCGGCGCGTCCCCTCCCATACAAAATATATGTATGTATTTGTCGGTGCGGTGTGTTATGTCATGGCGCCGATGAGGTCATTTAATGTTTCGGATTCCAGACTTCCTTTCCGACCGAATTGTACGATGAACGATGTAACACACATCATATATATTCAATCATTCATTATAAATAACTGCTGTTTGTGAAAAAGGCAGGGACGCATTCTTTAAAGATAACAGTAACGATAAGAGTGATGACTTGTTATCGTTGTTATCGGCTCTTTTGGGGAATGGATTATTGCAGCGGTTTCCAACCTTTTCTTCCTTGCGCCCCCCTTTCAAATGATAAAAATATTGCGCCCCCCCTCCCATTCTTATTTTTCTAACAATTTAATTTAAATATTCTTAATATAACTGAAATTATGCTAAATAATACACAGTATTATAAAAAATATACATACAAACATAACTATTTATTATAAGAATTTTCTGTTTCATATAAGTAAAATCTCGCAAATGGTAATAAAATTTCTGAAGCATTATTTGCCAAAGTAGGAAAATCGTCCTTTACTGTTAACCAAAACTTAACAATATATTTTCGTCCTGAAACATCTGCGTCAATGTGCTATCACTAGATAAATCAATTATCATTTTCTGCTCTGCTGTTGAATGAACAAAATCATGTCATGTTTCTCAATGACAAATGGATTTCTAATCCATTCGTATTTGGACGTAATTAGATAAAGTAATGCGAAAATTGGTTTCGTAGACTAGTCATATGACTGACATAATAATAAGATCTTTGCTTACTTCTATTTCATCAGTAACACAAGTAATTTTAAAAGTGGAAACATGTTAAAGTTATAAAGTTATTTGATACTAACTATACACAGTTCTAATTTTATCCGTAATCTTGTCTTTCTGAACAAAAGCACGAATTTGAGATCCTTGCATTGATTTAATTAAATCGCTAAGTCTTTGAAAAATATCAACTAAATACGCAAATTTTGCAAGGAACTTTGTGTCCTAAAACAAGATTGCTCCGTCTCTTTTGTTATCAGCAAGAAATATAGCAATTTCTTTTTGAGTTCAACACACTTTTAGAAGTACTTTAAGTATTTTGCTGATTTGTTTTTGACACTTACTCAGCATTTAAAAATAATATTTTTGAAACAGCTTTGCGCTTCCCCCCCTGT